TTGCAAGATTTACTGGCAGACAGTGACATCAGTGAACTGGTGTGGGATGCCTGAAAGAGTCGCTGACAGTGGGGTCCAGTGTCCCCCCCTTCCCCAAACACAAATCAGCACAATAACCTGAGACGAACATTCTGTGCCAGCAGAACCCCTCCGGGAGGACATCACCACAGGTGGTGAAAACCTTAGGGACCGCCCAGGGCATAACAATAGCCATAGCAGTCCACACGGCTGCTATGGGGCCTGGGGTAGGAGGGGGCTGTATTAGGGGGGCTGATTAGTAAAATACATTTTATCTTAATATAAAATGTAATTCTGCTTACTATTATTAGTGCTACTAGAACGTGTATCCCCTTTACTGCTCTCTAGCAATGTACTGACTATGCTGACAGCTCTCCTGCTGCTTGCCCTTGATACATACTTCATGTTAAGATCAATGACATATGTATTCTCAGCCGGGGGAACGCGTAGATTTTGTATAGGGCCCCATTATTTGTAACTATGCCTATATGTACATCTCAATGGAGCACAAGTGCCGCACTTGAGGTCCATTGATTGCTTCCTGCTGACCCACAACCAAAGATTCGTACCTGGGTATGGACAGAGGCTTGCGAAACATTCCACAGAAGCCTGTGAGTCGCACCCACGTTCCACGCTAAGCATGATCACTGTAACATTATATGCTTACACTTATGTGTACTTTGCTGTATTGTGTTATAACTTCTAAATGTAACATTACTGATTCTTATTGTTGGGTTTTGCTGCTTTTCTGTCCTCCCTCCCCCCTCCACTTGCCCTCTTATTGCCATCCATGCCTGAATACATCCTGTATTTTTTTTAGATGAAGACTGCATTTTGGAAATGGCATTCCTCCTGGACAGCTCAGAGAGTGCTAAGGAATACAACCACAACCAAGAAAAGAAGTTTGTATTACAAATGGTGGAAAAGCTGAAAGGAATACAGCTGGATTCCAAGCGTCCTTTTAGCTGGAGGATGGCTTTACTGCAGTACAGCAGCACCGTGCTCATAGAGCAGACATTCAGAGACTGGAAAGGGCCAGATAATTTCAAATCTCGCATTGCTCCCATTTCATATATCGGTCATGGTACATTTACATCGTATGCCATTACGAACGTAACCCAACTATATATGAATGAAGGTACGCACAAGAGTGTAAAGATAGCCATTCTTCTGACTGATGGAGTGGACCACCCAAGAAACCCTGATATTTTTGCTGCTACAACTAATGCCAAACAACATGACATTAAGCTTTTTACAGTCGGCATGACATCAGTAGCCCGGGAAACTGCTAATGCTGCCAAACTCCGCTTGTTGGCCAGTGTGCCCTCCACCAGATTTGTGTTTCACTTACAAGAAGCTGACATGGTGGATAAAATTCTGAAAGAAGTGGTATGTAAATATTTAAATGTTTTATTATGAAACACACTATGTATTTTTTCTATATGTTAGTAGTTGACCACTTTGAGGTCTACATACACCTCTTCCTCCCAACATGCTGAGATGACAGCACAAAGAATGCATTGCAGACAAAGGGCATTCCCTCATCAATGAAGGCCATAATGACTTAATATTCACAAAAATGGTTGATTAAACCTACATGATGTTTTTTTCATCACTATTTCACCTTTATACTGACTTTTTAAAATAATATATACAATAATGTAAACTAGGGATGCACCAATACCGTTTTTTCGGTATCCAATATGAGTACCGATATTTATATTTTGGTAATCGGAGATACTGAGTACTGATACCGGTACTTCCGCTAGCATGGAGCCGACTTCCCGGTCAAACAGGAAGCCGGGCAGCATGTCATTACCCGCCGCTTCTTGATTGCCGGGGAAGCCGGCCTCGCAGCCAATCAGCATTGAGCCAGCTGTTTAGCCGACTCAATGCTGATTGGCCGGGAAGCCGGCTTCACAGCCAATCAGCATCAAGCCTCTCAAACAGCATGGTGCCAGTTTTCTGGCCAATCAGGTAGCCGAGTAATGACTCGCCACCCGGCTGATTGGCCAGGAAGCCGTCCCCATGCTGTTTGGCCAGCCAATCAGCATCGAACCGGCAAAACAGCATTGAGCCAGCTTCCCAGCCAATCAGGAAGCCGGGTGGAGAGTCATTACCTATTACCCGGCTTCCTGATTGGCAGGGAAGCCTGCTCCATGTTCCCTCGTGGCACTGCCGGTGAGAGGAAATCTCCCTTTGACCGGAAGTTCCGGTATTGTTGGTAAGTACTCGCCCAAATATTCGTTATCGGCACAGATACTGATACTAGTATCGGTATCTTGCATCCCTAATTTAAAGGTTGGGTGAAAGGTTTGGTTTAGAAACACTTTTTCATTTAAAAAAGTACACTTACAGAGAGGTCTATATTTCAGACCAAAAAGCAGGACAACTGAGTAGGGTTAAAGGACAGGAAAGAACAGCCTGGGGCAATGTACACATAACAAATGCAGATATCAATGCATCCACACCAACAACCTATGACATCACTGAGGTCAATATAATTAACTAACAGCACCTCTAAGCAGGGTCTCCCCCCCCCTTACCCTCCACTGCATGGGTTAAATGCTCACTTGACTTGGGGGAGATAATCACAAAAACCTAGGTTATTCTTCACTCAGGCTTCTTCACAACTTTGTCGTTCCGCTGCTTTACTTGGCCTGCCCAGTTGCAGATCTCTGAAGTCATCACATATAATGCAGGACCAGCAGTTTTGCATTGTATGTGAAGATAGCAAGGGTCTGCCCACACCTCCAAGCACTCAACAGTGGAGGAGAGCACCAGCTGCCGGTAAAGGAAGGAATAAGGTAAGTATTTAAACGTACTACTTTCTCCTCCAAGCTAAACGGGCATTTATCCATGCAGTGCGGGTGACCCACAGCAAGGGTACATTTAATAGCAGTCTGGATTTGAACTTTAAAATTATTATAGGCCGTGACACATTATAAGTCCATGGATCTCACAGTGTACACTGCCTGTGTCTGAATACATACAGAAATACCATTATTACAGTATTTTTCAATCTTCACTGGAATAAAACCCAATCCCTTCATCTAATCTTCCTTTTCCCCTGACTTTAAAGCTTATCTCTGGCCAAATACCCCCCTTCCACCCCACTGCATGCGTGATTGACTTAACATGCTGCTCCCCCTCTTCCACTCTCAGTGTTTTAATTTTGTCAGCTTTATTTAGAAATACATTTTATATTTTTTTCAGAATACACAGCTTTAAATGTAAAATGTCTGGATCCATTTATAGCTACAGATTCTTAGATAATTGCCTCTATTATTATCCACCACTAACTAGCAGCTCGTATGCACAAAATTATTAGTTTACTCTGCTTTGCATAGATAAAGGTTAACTCAAGGCAATGAAAAGCTGCCTGTTTGTGAATCTTTAATCCTTTCTTAATTTAAACAGATATGGAAATGCAAAGACAAATCTATGTTAGCAGTCTTGCTGGAATAGATAAAAAATAATAGAACAGGTGAAATGAGAAGAGGAAATGTTGCTCAAGAGTTCCTTAAAGAAAGCCTATCACCAGACCATTCATTTCAACAAAAAACTTCCTCTAAGTTTATATGTGCTTTTAACGTATTTCAGGCATGTTATTTGCCTGTAAAAGCTTCCATTGTGTAGGCGTCCAAAAACCCTCAGTGCACTGTTGGGTGCTGCCATCTTGGATGTGATGTCAGCACCCTTAGCAGACTCATTACCGTCACTCAAGCAACACTCTCTTGTATTCCCCTTTGCTCTTCCCCAGGCTACTACATAAAAGGTTATGTAGGGAGGTTAAAGGAGAGGCGGAAGAGTTGAGTCAGCACAGAGAGTAATTACACACTCTTAGAACAGTAGAGGGCTATAACATGGCAGAAGCGAGGAGACTGTACTAAGGGATCGACTAGTCAATTTTTCTAGCAAATGTAAAGTCACATTGCAAGTTAGTAAAATAAAGTTTATGGAAATGAGAAACACAGAAAGTAGGCATTTAAAATGTTTCTGTGCTTTTACCTGTGTTGTTTTCTAAAGCTAGTGACAAGGTGTTTGCAATATGTCTAAAGGACAAACCACTGTTTAAACACATGTCAAGGCAATCCACTTCCCTTCTTCCTGCACCCCTCCTCCTTCCTTCCTTCTCTAGTCTCCGAGCTAGTAGATGCTAGTAGTTGTTGGACTCTTCCCTGTTCCTTGAGATCTTGTACTGAACAGGAAGTTCAGGGAAGCTGAGCTGACGAGAGTTAGAGCTGTTTGGAAACATGATGCCTGTAAGTGCTTGAGCAGAGATTTAGTGAAATGGATTGCTGGGCAATGTAGATTTGTTTGATCTGGCTTCATTACTGAAAAACATTTAAGAGTTCAATACTACCTCAACCTTTCCTGTATGGTATTGATTATTTTATAAATTGTTTGCTACAGAGCATGCCCTAACAATGGCCCTCTACTGTTACTCTATTCACATAATTCAAAGGAACCTAGTTTTGTACACATCATAAGCCACCTCTCTCTTAGCAGATGACAATGTGAATTTTGGTGTCTGAGCATAGTCTTTAGTGGGGAGCAAGAAAGGTTTTTTTTTTAGGGTCTTTAGCAATAATCCACTGTGGTAGTAAGTGGGTGCAGTCTATGCTGTGTTTCTTAACAGATATATGGATTTCAAATCTGCTCCAATTTATCAAGTGTATTGTGTAATTGTGTGGTTCTATGTTCCATGGGATTATTGGCTCTGATTCGAGCTTGCCTGTTCCCTGGGCCTATTTCCATTTAAGTGCAAATAACCATTTAGGAGCTGTAAGAATGTTTACTATTATTAATGTACAGGATTTTTACCGCACCAACAGTTTGCACAGCCCTATTTATGGAAATTTCTAGATATCTTGATGGGGGAAGGCTCTAAGTTTATAGGTAATTAGTTTGAGGGTCATTGCACATTGGAAAATTTTCTAAACAAGGAGTTCAACACAATGACAAAATGGTTGTATTATGCGGCATGTCCTCAATTTATGAATGAGATCACCAATGTGTTGGGCACAGCTTTGGTTGGGTATGTTTGAGTTGAGGAAATGTAGAAAGTCAGGAGTGTGATACCAGTGGAGTAATATTTGAATTGTTTTTATTGTAAAGTGTACATATTAAACTCAACAGACACTTAGTAATCAGCAGAAGGAGAGTAAAAACTATAAATGTAAACTGATTGTTAGATTACTATACAGGTTTTTTGGGAGACCCCCCTTCCCCAAGTTACTGTATGATCACTCCTCCTATGGGAGCAGATAATACCTCTTCTTCTAAAAATGTCAATCAACAGCCTAATCAAGTGAAAAGGCTTTTACCTATATGATGTTATTTAGCCCCATATACAGATTACATACAAATGAAAGTTTTGCATGTTTTCCTGTTACTTTTATCTCCACCACATTTGTCTATTTTGTGGACTGCACTTATTTAGGCCATGCCCACAATGATATGACACTACAACAATGAGGTCACATATACAGTATATTGTTTTTAGGAGACTGCATATTGGCACACCTCATGTAGACAGACACACAAATGCTAACTAGCTGCAACTTGTTAAAGTGGACCTTCCATCAAAACTGGAAAGTCCACTGCACTTATATCCCCCGAAATACAAATGGGATGAAAAAGCTTTATAAAAATAACCATTTACCAAAATAAATTAATGAAATAATGAAATAAATACTTACCTCACACCAGCTTCCAAAGCCTCTAGTTTTTGTATGATTTTTCTAAGCAATTTAAATTTAGGGGGTGGGAAGCTGTAGGGGAAACTTAATAAACAGTCTATAAGGGAGTTGAAAAGTATAACTGAATACTGTTTTTGGCATCTTATTAGTTTACTCAACTTACAGATACAACTTTCCACAAGTATTCTCTCAAATATATGTAGCATAATACTGTGGTCTAGAATGTTGTACTCGCTGTATTATTTAAATCTTAAAAAAACAATTATCACCAATTCTCTACCTGCTTTTCTTTTTAATAAGGATTTGTTGACCTCATCAGACAGCACTTACTAATTGCAGGTATATTGCTTATTTTTTATCAAGTTGGTAGCAAGTCACAACATGATTCACAACCATTTGAGTAGGTAACCATTATACATTTTATGGTTTACATATATATAAAGAATATACAGAAAGTAGGACTTCAGGGCATGGCACATTAGCTCCGGACACTGGTAGTATTCACACAATGCTAAGGGCAAGGGTGAACATTAACTTACTAATAAAGTGTATCCGGCACTAAAGCTCCCTGCGTTAACACTTAAAGGTAAACTTGGACTTGGTGCAAGTTGTCCTTTAATGAATGCAGCAACCCCCCTGATTGTATAACCCACCTGGTCTTATACTCACCATTGTCCTCCTCAATCCATTAATCTTATTGCGTGGGCCCGTCAGGAGTCACACAACCTGGCTTCACAAAAATGCTTGCCTGGTTCTCGTCTGCTTTTGGATTCCATTCCATTTTAGTTTTAGCATCGCAATTCCATTGAGGAGAGCCATAATCTGAAAGAGCACTGGAGGAGGCCATAAGTACAGCTCACCAAAGCAAAGAATAGGACTAAGTTGCACAAGGGCAAGCCAAAGACAATTTGGCAAGGCTGTGTAGCTCCTGAATGGGCCACACAGTAAAGATCACTGCATCAAGGATGAAGGTGATTATAAGACTAGGAGGGCTGCACTGGGGGAGAGATGGTATGACATTTATTGAAGGCCAACTGATACCAAAGTTACACTTATTATTTAACCCTCTCTCACCTAAATATTTAACAAGTAGATGACTTCTCCATAAGGGACTATGGAAAAAAAAAACCTCATTGATATCCTTTGGCATTAAATACACTAAGAAATTTTCCAGGAATACATGACACTAGTGTACTGCATAGGAGGAACATTCAACAAAGCCAACTAGGACAAAACACAAGAAGGATCTCACCATAGCATCATAAAGACTGACCAAGTTAGTAAAGAAATGTAATATTTGACATGTTGGCTACTGCTACATTAAGGGTCTGTTCACACCAGCAAGCAACGCTGAACAAACGCTGGTTTGCGCTGGCAGAAACAGTGCTGATGCTCTGATTCTGGCACATTGCACTGTTTCCTTTTTTTGTTATAATTTTGCAAGTGACAATTAATTCAGTTCAAACAGGTACAGCACAGTATGATGCAGTTCTTTTCTCAGTGTACAGCACTGCACCACAGTGGTGTGAGCTGCACCTTGCCTTGTATTTGCGTTGGGACTGCACTGGTAAAGGCTTCCAGCACAGTCCTAATGCATCTGGTGTAACAGAAGATGAGAAATATATGCACATTGTATTGGTAACCAGAGTCAGCATAAAGTATTAGATTCCTATGTGTTTTTTAATTTAATTGGTCTGTACCTTTTAAAGAATCTTCTGACCCAAAGAATTAGTATTACTAATAATTGCATGTATGAACATTTTCAACTGTTTGGAAACAGGAAGTGATGGAATCTCTTCACCAGGGACATGGCAAGTAAAAAAACAAAGGTTACAAACCTTCCCACACAGGCAAAAAACTACCACATATGCCCTCACTGAAAAGATTTTCTGTTACTACCTGTGTTGGGGACTGTACAGGAAATGAGGAAAAATCTCCCATGTGAGTACAAAGGTAGAGGTTTTAACTGTTCCACACTGCAGATGATTTTCTTCTGATATTTCAATAGTGTGTGGTTTCCATGTTGCACTTCACTGCTCTTGGCACAGAAAAGCTCCTGGCACAGGATGAATAGAGTCTCCAGAATAGCGGATATTAAAAGACATGACTTAGTTTAGGAGCTAGGTTAGTGTTAGGCTTTTGAAATTAAGTGCGGAAGAAGGTGGAGAGAACTAAAGCTGAAGTTTGATTTGCTTATAGTCTGTGTTCTCTCCTCCCCCAAAAACATGCTATTGACATTTTTAAATACACCCTTTTCCTTTTCAATATGCACCTTTTTTTTTAGACCTAGTGACATTATCACTGGGACTCTTCTAATGCACATTGTCAGTTCACAGTGTACAGCAAAATCACAGTAAGCAATGTTAGTACAGAAGAGAAGCCTGTACAACTGTGCGAGACTGAAGATAAGGCTGGAGTTCAGCTTTGAGTATGAATAATTGACTTTTTGGGCAAAATGGAATGAATTTGGAAGTGCATCTTGAACCTATCCTTGATAGAAGTAAACTCCTGTGCAGATTGTACTTGATATCAACCAGACTCGCAAAGATGTGCCTCGAATCCTCACCATATTGCTTTGGGCAGTGTGGATACTTGGGGCATAGGATCCATATTTGGATAGTGTCCAAAAGGGAAATGCTTCTGGACCCAGATGTTTTCTCATATAAACAATATACACTATGACTAATATTAATATCCTGAAAATGGCATGGACAGCCCTACCCAGGAATGTCAAAGTCTTCTCATAGACTTACTTTTTTTCAAATTTTTAGCAGCTAAAATATCAATTGCTGGGTGATGGAAAACTGCCATTTTGAGGCTTGATATTGCCAAAAACAAAATTTCCTGGAAAGACTCTTTAATATAATAATTGATAAAAAGACCTTTTTGAAAGGACGTGGAATTCCTAGATCAGATATGTACAAACACATGGCATGGGACTTTAATTAACTTACTAGGAGATGGAGGAAATCTAAATAAATACATGAAATGCTGTAGTCAGAGAATTGAGGGGCCACCCTGGCCGATGACGGTTTTTGTGGTTAAAAAAAAGCAATTTTTTTACCCCCTATCTTCTGTAAGGCTTTGTCGGTCTGGAGCAGCCTTGTGTGTCTTGTCAGTCATTGTCAATAGCCAATTTTAATTTCTATTCTGTTTCTTTACTTCTTTCTCAACTCTCTTGCGTATACCATACAGCACAGAAACTAGAGTTTCAGATTCCAGAAAGGAAGACTAAATATGACTTATGGACAAATAAACCACAGGAGGCTCACATGCAAACAACAATTGGTTGCAAAGTCTTATCTTTCTTTATTGACATCACAAGGATTTATTGAAAAATAGCAGCATACTTGACAATGGCAATTGTTATATTATTATTATTATTATTGTTATTCTTATATTATATTATTATAATATTAAACTTTAGGAGATATTGTAACTTTGTGACATGATACCTTATTTTATTATGAAATTCTGTTCATTAGTAATATTCAATGTATGTTTCACTGATTGAAACCCTGAAGAGAAAAAATTGACTTTTTGGATTTCCTGGACAGCGTTGGCAGTTTATTTGTTGCCCAGAGTTGATCTACACCCAGTCAAAAGAATGTAATGAAGTGAAGCTAAATAACCTCTGACTAATAGTGTGGGGATCTTAGAAAGGAAGCTTCAAAACAATTCCTAGGTTTCTCAGCTAGTTTCACAAAAGGGCTGATTTACTAATCCTCTATCTAGCATATAGCTGGGAGAATGCCATTTGCATGGCACTGCTGCCACTAGATGGTTGTGAGGAGCATAGGAATTGCTCTTTAGTGCCATCTAGTGACTGTAGTGCCCTGTGAATGGCATTCACCTCGCTATCTGCTGGGCAGAAGATTTATACACCAGCCCCAAAGGAAGCAACTCAGTACTGTGTGTCTGAGCATCTGGATTGCACGTATTGTCAATTATCATTATCAATGCCATCACAGAACACTGTCAAAAGGCTCCTTACAGAGCTTACATATTAACAAAATGTGAAAACCATTTGCTGGACTGTTATTTTTTTTCACTTTTTTTTTGTTTTTTTTACAGAAAGAGCTTGCTGAGGAAGGGGTAAGTGTTTTATAGTGACAGTTTCACATGTAAGACATACAGCAAAATATTTAAAACTTTCTGGTTCTACCATATTCCATATGGTTTTAGTTCTTTTGTTAATGGGCCTTCATTTCAGTTTGACACTAAATCAATTAAGTAGTAATAGTTCTTAGACAGGGTTGCATATTTACAGTTTTAAGTCACCCAAAGTATGCACTATCTGTAAAAAAATAAATCAAGACAACTGGACTTGCTGTATTTTTTCTTCTTAAAGACGTTTTGCTGGTCATCCGACTAGCTTTCTCAATTCAGGATGAGAAAGCTAGTCGGATGACAAACGAAACATCTTCAAAAAAAAATACAGCAAGTCCAGTTGCTTTGATTTATTTTCCACAAATATACCATGATATGGATGAATGAGAACCTTCACAGACTAAGTATACAATGTTTTACAATAAAGTAATTTCACAATACACGTTTAATAATTAAACAAAGTTTTAATTTGACGTATAATATTTAGATAACATTTTGGAGATTATATTGCATTTGTTCACAAATCATATAATTTTGTTGTTTTATTTGAACTATTGTTATGAAAAACGTTTGCACAAGTATGTGTCTTTTAGAATCTTTATTAGCTAATTCTCAAGTCATGTGACTTTTCTTGGTGAATGTTAAAAAAAAAAAAGTCAGTTTGGCCATCTGAGATGCAAAACAGGCACAGGGGCCAACCTCTTCACAGGGTTACGATTTATTAGCATTGTGACATATTCTCATATTGGAACCCAATTCCACCCTATAATTTGTTACCTCCCCTATTTCCTAACATCATCTTAATTTGTATTTGACAATAAAAATGTGCAGGAAAATAGTTTATAGCTGTGGGGTGATTTTTTTTTCTTTTCTACCAGTGCCGCCAGTCACCTACCTGCACTTGTGAAAAAGGAGAAAGGGGGCTTTCTGGATCTCCTGTAAGTATTCCTGACTTTGCTCTTTGTCTGTATGATGTCAGGTTTAAGTTGGTATTTGTTTTATTATATACATTCAAGACTGGGCTGGGAAGTTATCCAATGCCATAATACAGTAAAGCCTTTTCTTTTAATAGGGTAAAAAGGGCCGACCAGGTGATGATGGCATTCCAGGTCAGAAAGGTGGCAAGGTACAGTACTTTTTTTTTCTGAAAATTTAAGAAACAACAGGTAATCCTGAATAACGCTGCATTTTGTGAAACACTTAAGAAAATACATGAACCTTCCTCCCAACGTAAAGTTGCTGGGTGAATGCTGTTCTCCAGGCATTACTGCGCATAGACAGCAGCAAGGAGCAAAGGAAGTTCTTCCTTCTGCTAACTGTTGTTTTGGCATTTGACAGTTGAGTGTCAAAGGGTAAGGTTTGAAGGCAGAATGTTATTTGGCATTGGGAAGATGTTAAGGCCCCATTCACAGCCTGGGCTTAGGATTTAAGCAGGCTCCTCTGTAATCCACTTAAAGACTTCAGCACCTATGTTACCTCAGAAGCATTTCAGACCGGGTTGGGTTCACTTTCAAAGGCTAAAACATCTCAAAATATATGTAAACCCTAACAATGAGCTTCTCTTGTTTGCCACCTTTTGGTGATACCATTATTCCAGGGAAGCATTTTGTTATATCAATTTGATAAGTGCAAATTATATCTGTTTATCATGTCATTGCATGTGTCTTCTGTACACTTTCTGTGTTATCTCAAGGAGTTTAATAAGCAAAAGAGAAATGGCAGGACTGGCAACACTCAGTCCACAAAAATGCTGTGTGTTGTCAGCCTACAACGGGCTTAGGAACTGATCGCATTTCTGGCAAATCAGCAGGTATTCTTCTGTACTTGTGGGGGTCTTGTAAAAACCGTGCAAGGGATAAAACAAAGGAAAATGTGCAAGTACTGCAAATATGTACTGCATTTTATTTTTTATTCTTAACATACTAAACATTAAGGAACAATGCCATGTACAAGAAAACAAAAATACTTTTTTGTTTTAATACCACCATAATTGCCACAATAGCTTTTTACATTCCATTGGAATATAGTTGCCTTTTGTGGTATTATAAAGTATTTTGTTTTTTCTGTATTTGTTTCCTTTTACGTTAACATGGCAGTAACACAAAGAATCTGGATCAGTAGTGTGCAGACTATTGGATCCTTATCAGAAAAGCATATAAAATATCTCTGATTTTAGTAATGTTTGTAAGCTGGTTGGTTAATGAGCACCAGACTTTGAGGCAGACTGTTTTTTGGAATTACCTGTTAAATGACAATATGGTGCTTTTGTCTTTATTACAGGGAGAATCTGGACTTAACGGAATTCCTGGAAGAGATGGACTAGAGGTAACACTAGAAACAGATCTAATATAATATGGATGGGTTATAAATGACCATATACAGTATTTATTACAGGTATTTCTATAGCACCCTCAATTTACACAGCGCTTTACACAGTGCACATTCACATCAGTCCCTGCCCTCAAAGAGCTTACGATCTAAGGTCCCTATCTCACATACATACAGGGCAAATTTAGACAGGAACCAGTTTACTTTCCAGCATGGCTTTGGAGTGTGGTAGGAAACTTACAAAAGCACAGGGAGAACATGCAAGCTCCTTGCAGATAGTGTCCTGGCCAGGTTTTGAACCATAGACCACCAGTGCTGCAAGGCAGAAGTGCTAACCGCTATGCCAATGTACTGGCTAATGTGCCTAAAGGGTCTCCCATTGAAAACAGACAGTTCCTACTTGATAAATATTGTAAACTGCCTGGCAGGGTCTACGCACCCACTGAGGTCGTTATGGCAAATTTTGACCCTCATTAAAGTAACCACCTCTGGCTTTGTGACATAGGCTCCTAGACAAGAGTGCATTATGTTTGCAACAAATTGCCTAAGCCCTGATGAAGGGGGATGGTTTTTGGACACCCATAATGCATTTTTCACATATTTTTCTGCCATTTTTGGAATAAATAAAATACATATTTGGGCTCACAAAAGCATAGTTGGCAATTCTTTTTCGATTGACCACATACAGAGCACCTACAGAGAGGGAAACCATGGTTTCAGGGAGAACCCCCTTTTTTTGGTAGCTGGTGAACCTAAGCCACTAGACCGAATCATCATTTCTCTTCTAAGCCTTAGATGCAGATCTAGCATCTCCCTTTCACCACGATTTTGACTCATGTGCTTTTGGCATTTAAGTTTAGACTGCACAGTAATGTATGCATTCGAGGATGGGACAGCTTCCTTCTATTAAAACTTTCGTTCTGCAAAAATTCCCAAATTTCCAGCAACTCACCTTCTGAAAGTGTTTAGAAAGTTCACCAAGAAGTGTATATGACAATAACAATTTTAATCTAAACAATTTGACTACTGTACTCGTCAGAATTATGTTTCTGATGTTTTGTTTTTTTCTTTTCAGGGAAAACCAGGATATAAAGGAGAGCCGGTAATGCATTCAACCTCTTGATTACATATAGTAAATGCATGAAATGTGCATAGTGTGGTCTTAAAGTGAAAGCTACAGATGAAATAATAAAGTATGAATAGTAAATATTCAGTGGATTCCACTCTGATAAATAATCCAGAGTTCAGTCTGAATGCCCCTCTGTGCTATTTTCAATTGTTCATTAAATTTCATGAAACCCCACTGAAAGTACTAACGTAACATTCAAAGCCTACCTTGGGGCACCAGAAAAAAATATCCTTGCAGTGGGGCCCCTTTAATTATTTATTTATTTCAGGTATTTATATAGCACTATGAATTAATGCAGTGCTTTACATATTATGTATTCACATCAGTCCCTGCCCTCAAATAGATTGCAATTAAAGGTCCCCATTTTTTATATGCACAGATATGAACTGTTAACTTACCCAGCATGACTTTAGAGTAATGCGTATTACTTGCATTATTCCTCTCTCTGGCATGCTTTGCCACCAGCCCCCAAAGCCACTTCCCTAAGGCATTCCCAACTACAGTTGCATGCTGATGTCATCAAGTACAATGCAGGGCAAGTAGCCCTGCATTTTACATAAGGACAGTGAGGGACCGCCTACAAAATGGACCATCAGCGAGAAGAGTAGAGTGCTGAAGCCTTCCGGAGTGAGGAGTAAGGTAATTATTACAGTTTATTCCTCTACCCCTAGACTTAATGAGCATTTTACCCTTACCGTGCAAGGGGGCCCACTGCAAATGTAGCTTTTGTGTAATCCCCAGAGTTGGGCTTTAATGCTTTGCAGGAGCAAAAACAAACTCTCTTTTGAGTATAAAGGTTTTATTTGACATATTTTTGTCTTTTTCCTTATAGGGTGAGAGAGGCGAGTGTGGAATTCCTGGTATCAAGGGTGATCGGGTGCGTATGTAAATAACACTGGTGACAGTTGTTCCATATGCTGTAAAGATAAAAATTGTCAATAATCATACAGTAGGTAACTGTAATTGCAATTGTGTTCATTTGCCTTAGTCAGAAGATCCTGAAGTTTTAAAATCTGCAGCAATTGCTTCCAAACTTACATGTAGTGCCTTGCTTCTATTACACACAATATCTCATGCCTATTCTAAATGCAGTGCCTCATATCATTCTGCTACATGCAGTGTGACACATAACTTCCAATTACACACAGTGGAGTTGGACCACTAAATGCAAATGGGATGTTCACAATGCAAGGGAATTTTCACTTTGCTGGGGAGTTGCATGAGGTGACTTTCATCATCGAATGTGCAAGCAAAGATACTGATTTTTTTCTTCTTTTCGTTGCATGTGATTGGGTATTATTTGCAAAGTGAATTTCCACCACATTTACTAAGATAAGGGTAATGTCCATTGCGACGTGCAAATTCCCTTGGAAAGTGAACATCCTATTTGCCTTTAGTAAATAAACCCTAGTGTCTCATGCCTCTACTACTTCACTGAAAGAGCACTGGCCGAAAGGATCCGAGTGCCGGCGCAGACTCAGCTACACAGTCTGCATCCGTCAGAGATGCAGACCGTGCAACTGCTCCCGCAAGTCAAGTACGCGGTGTGTGACCGCGTACCTGACTTCTGAGCTGGCTGCAGGTCACAAAGTACCGGCTCGCGGGCCGCAATTGGCCCGCGGTCCTGGAACACTGAGATCCCGGCATTTTTGCCGCTCCTTTGGAATCTGACGCCCGAGGCAAACGCCTTGTTTGCCTTGCGGCAGATACGCCCCTGCCTGTAGCCCCAACCTCTGAAACCCATGTCACTGCTCTGTTCTGTATACCTCTTGGATTTGGTACAGTCTTACAGCCTTCCCTATGCTGAACTATCTTTAACAACCATCCAACAGACTAGTCAGAGAATGCGCCAATGTCTTTAGAAGATTAAATATGGTAATAATTGTTGGTTATGTGTTTAGACGAAGCACTGAGATCTTGAGGAATGCTGAATTAAGTTTTACTTGCTTAGAAGAACATTACATATATGTAGACAGAACTGGAAGGAAACATAGAGAAAATAACTTCCTGTGTATCATAGATAAGCATGCACATATGAGCAGAAATAATAACATTGCACTACAGTGCCATCTACAGCTCAAAGGACAAATTACAGTCAGTAATACAATCAATATATGCTGTTGTATTTCCGACATAAATTTGGTCTCTTTCAGTTTTATTCTATAAACAGTACAACTGAAACAATGATATTTAAAGTAGTAACCCATAGCAACCAATTAGATTTCAGATCATTAGTGTCTGTCAACATGTGTTCTCTGGTTGTTGTGGGTTACTGCCTTATTGCTTTACTTCTTAAGTCTGGGCAGGATTATATTAGTGTGCCACATTCTGAAATAAATAATTAATAGAAACTTTTTTATTTTCATCTTTTAGGGTCCTGAAGGTCCTACTGGTCCCAGAGGATTAAGAGGCGTGCAGGTAAGAAAACATTTTAGTCGATATGTACCCAAATTGCAGCACAAACATGTTTTACTTTCAAAGATTTTGTGGAATCATACTGGTGTATGACGTTCCATACAGAAACGTTCCATTCCAGACATTCCATGTGGGGGGCAGTGCCCAGTTCACTGACATCACTGGTTGCCAGTAACTAGACGGGACACTGGCCAAAGTGTCCCTCTCAATACCTGGTAACCAGTGATATCACTGGTTGCCAGAAGCTGGGCAGGACGCCGGTCAGAGCATCCCAGATTGCTAAGAGCTTGCCAGGTTCTTAGCAATCTGGGACGCTCTATCTGGAAAGGGGGCAGCAGACACACTGCAAACATTGTGCAGCAGGACGGCCATGCACAATTTTTTCAAAGCACATAAAGTGTATCTAAAGCCATAGAGGAGTAGAGAAGGGATAGAACTCCAATCGAGTTTTTATTGGGGTCTTTATCTCCACTGGGGTCATTTATTCATTCTATATGTCCTAGTGGACACTGGGACTGAAAGGGAGGGATATTCCAAAATGTTTAATTTGTCACCAAAATAGGAATAGAAGAGAAATATTCAATTTGGGACACTTTTTTCTGTGACAATGAAAATAGAACTTAAGCCAAAACTTATAGAGAAAAGAGGGGTTAGAACACTTGTTTTTTATTGCTGTTTTTGATCCCATTAAGGAAATTCACCTTCTATTTTTATCCTTGTGACCGTAGTCACTGAGAGTGGAAATGAAAGAAAATCCCAAATTTTGAGTTGTCACTAGAACTGGGTCTTCCAATGGGAAAACTAGTTCTGATAACCCTGTTGACAACCAAAGATTTCTCTTACTTTGGAGGAATTTCCTCTCACTTCCTGTTGTGGCTATCGGATAGGATGTGAAGGGAAATCTCCCCAATAAGACAGATGCCAAAAAAAAGAAACTGACAGGTTATAGCCCTCCCTTACTCTATCCAATATGAAAAACAAAAAAAAAGTTTCCTTTGTTATGAAATCTCTTCTTACTTCCTGTTGTGTCTCAAAAATAAAGGAAACGCCTCCCAAAGGTAAATCAACAGCAAAAAAAAAAAAAAAATGATGGGAGTTTTCACTTTATCGAAAATAAAAAAACATAAAAAGCAATTAAACATACTTAAATATGTCTATTAGGCTGTATTAAAATGATCAAGGTGATTCTCATGTGGAATTCTAGCAAATAATACTGTAATAAATACTTTCAGAATAATGTCCAAAATAATGTCCAATAATTGTCCAATCATGTGAAGAGCATCTGCATGATTTGCAGCATCATTTAACCCAGGCCTCAAATCCAGTTTTGAAAAATCTTACTAACTCAGATTTTAAAAACTCTGGACGATGAGAGCGCCATTGAATGCCTTGTCAACAATTTCAGTTTTATCCATTTTTTAAACTTCATTACCAAACGCCTACCATTGCTCAAGCCATTAACTATGGATCTCAACAGCCAAACAACCTTCTTTCGTCAGAAACTCAATTACTGCTCTTTGTTTCAACTTCTCATCCAAGATTCACAATTTAATAAATTTCATTTAAAGTGTTCAAGGCCCCCCAGGAGATCAGGGACTTGAAGGACTCCAAGGAGCAAAGGTAAGGAAATATTATGTGTGAACATACAGACTGGGCATATAGCAATGTCAGTTTTTAGTTAAAAAAATAAAAAATGTGTGAAGTAATACTGTATATGTGAGAAAAACTGTCATTCATATAATTTGCATAAAACTACTCAGTTCCTTAGTAGCAGATACTTTACATTGAAATCCTCAGCTACTCTTGACAGTCCTACCATACTAAACAAATGACAAAGGCTGTGAAATATTGACTTAGTATTAACTAAAAAGAAAGTTTGTTCCGTCTACCAATTATGGGGTGTCTGCTAAAACGACTTGAGCAACCAACTTAAAGGAGAACTATGGGGTTAAGGCTTTTCCCCATAGTTCTCCTTAGGGTAACGGGAGGACACAAACTAGCGTCCTCCCGTCACCCTAGGCACAGTATACCGCGAGCTACAGCTTGCGGTATACTGAGACGCTGCAGCTGAAGCGGATCCCCACAATTATGTCTGGATCCGCCCAGCTGCATGACTGACAGCTGGCTCTGCCTATCTAGAGACAGAGCCAGCTGTACCCGCCCCCTCCCGCGTCCGTTCCTCCAGTCAGCGCTAGCGGATCGGAGCGGGGAGGGGGGAATCCAGCCCCTCCCCTGTCACGGCAGAGAGCCGTGACAGGATCGAGAGGTGAGCGAACGCCGGTATGTGTTCGCTCACCTCCCGATCTACTAAGCCGACCTGTGACAGTCTCATTGTCACAGGTCGGCTAGAACTATGAGGTGAGTGAAAAGCATGAGAGGGGGAGGTGTTCTGTATTCATAACTAGGGATGCACTGTAATTTCCACCACCGAAACATATCAGCTGAAATTGTGAGGTATCTCTCCTCCCCACTGTGTGGTGCTTTTTGTCCCTTCTGACACAGCGCAGCGTCCAGCGGGGAGGAGAGAAACTGTCAGAGGAGGCCGAGCGGTGCGGGGGAGGAGACACCCAGTGGTTCACAGGAGGCCGGGCTCTCCTCCCACACCGCCCCCTCAGCCTCCTGTGATCGATCAGGATGGAGAGAGGGGGCGGAGACAGACATGCTCTGTCACAGGAGCCCGAGGCGGTGTTTTGAGGGAGGAGTCAGCTGTCAAAATAGATCGAGCTCTCCTCCCCGCACCGCCGGCTCACAGGAGAGCAAGTCAGGATGGAGAGCGGTACCAGCAGTCAGTGATCAGCTGATCGCTGACTGTTTGTAATAACTGGACATAGTATGAATTACTATGTACCAGTTATGAATGAATAGGAAGTGATCTACATCACTTCCTATTCATTCATAATTGTGTACATAGTAACTCATAGTATATTTACAATGTATGAATGAACAGGAGCAGTCAGTATAGAGCATTCCTGTTCATTTATAACAGGGGCTGCAGAAAAAGAGATTGTGGACTATATTTCCTTAATCTCTTTTCCTATTTTAAAAGAGAAATATCAGGGGACTGTTTGATATTTTACCAAAGCCCCCACAGTATAACTACAAAATAAAAATATTTAATAAAAATAAATAAATTCAAAATAAATAAATAAAAATAAAATATAATTTAAAAAAAAGTTTATAAAAAATAAATAAAAATAAAATATTTAAAAAGATTAGAAAAAAAAAATATTTTCGGTTTCGACCTGACATTTTTTTTAATCGATTTAAAATTTTCATTTCGGTGCACCTCTAGTCGTAACACACTTTCTGTCCTAAGATAACAACGCTATTCTTCCACAGATACAGTATGGCAAGTGTTGTCATCCTAGGACAGAAAGTATTGCCAGCAGGATCATCAAATGAAAATATAGGAAACAAAATTTTAAATATCTAAAAAAAGAAAACAAATGCAGCTGCCACATCTAAGGACTGGTAAGCTGTGATATATTACATTTTTTGGGTTTAAGTACGTTTTACATTTTCCAATCTCTAAGACTCCCTTTCAGCTAATATGCCGACCCCATTCCCTGTACCTAAACCCTTCAACCCCCATTATTCCTCCTCTGCACCTACTGTCCCCCCTACCAGCTCCTAAAATCCTCTCCACCTTGTACAATATGACACCTCTGTGCAGGAGCAGTGATTTAGTGGAATCCTTGCTGAAAGTGGTGGTGGTAGAGAGGGTATTTTAAGTAAGTCTTATGGGTCCCTCAGAAGCAGGAGCCCAGTTGCAACCACAACCTCTGCAACTTCTGTTCTTTTCCTAAGCCACTGGGATTTTCTATCTCAATTGAGACTTCAAGCTAAGATCACAATCTATATATAAAACAGCAACAGCGGAGGACTTTAGTTAGTTGGACACATGGATGTTTTTTTCCCCATATCAAGAGACAAAAGGTAGACACAAGTAAAATCTGCAGCTGGGTAGAAGAATTATTGGGGGAATTCCGTCATAGTTTTTATTTTTACTTAGAATGGGAAAAAGTTTGAGATAGAATGTCAGGGAACCAAGAAACCAGACTACTAAATAAAGTGCAGGTTAAAAAATAAAGGAGTTTATTGAATAAACAAAATAGCAACAAATAGGTAAATCCAAGACATAGTCAGAGCTGAGCCAGGGGTCAGAAGCCAAAGCAGGCAGTTAGCCGAGACAGGTCTTGGAATGCAGAGAGCAGGATGAACACGTACAATAGCCGGAATCTGGAGCCAGGAGATCAGTAGACAGAGCCAGGATCATAGACAGAGTACAGGAACAAACACTTGGTAGGTCTGAACAAACGCAAGGGGAGAAACCAAGTGAAAAGACTGATGACTATATAGTGAACTGGATTTGCATCATCACTGTGAGACAGGAAGTTGCCAGGAGTTTGCTAATAGTCTCAGAATGATAAAGTTTACGGTTATACGGGTTTGGTCTAGGAGCAACAGTCAGTGTCAGAAACACTGCACAGAAGCTTAACCTGCAGCTCAAGTGGTCAAGGAAGGGTAAGACCCCCTCTCATAGAGCTTCTGATGTGTTCCTATTGCTGCCTTTGTGCCCACTAGGCAGATTTCCCCTTACTTCCTGTCCTGCAGACAGGGCAATAAGTAAGAAAAAATCTCCCCAAAGCAAAAGGAAAACCTATCTTTGACGGATGTCACCAGAAAAAATGTCCCGATAAGGAGAGTTCCCTTTATGTCCCCTTCTTCTGTTGATAGTATAGGAGAAGAAGACAGGATAGGCAAAGGAATCTCCTCAAAGGGAATGAAATAATAGCCTGACATAGATAGTAAAGAAAATGACAAAATGTCTACGCCATGTCACCTAACGGTATTATTATTATTAACAACATTGTAATTGGTTCAAATATATTGTTTAATACAAAAATATTGTTTACATTTTTCCATAGGGTGAGAGAGGACTCCAGGGACCACCTGGATTTCAAGGAGAAACAGGGATAGGACTGCCAGGTGCCAAGGTAATACATTCCTGAACCATTTTACTTATGATCCTCCTAGATTCAGGACTGTTGTTGGATGTGTAAGGGTACTCTATAACTAATAGAGGCTTGTATAGTCCAAATTTCTATGCATTGTTGATGCATTATGTGGACACCTCTGTGGCTTACCTTATTACAAGGAAACAATCTATTATGGACAATATACCAGTTCTCCAGAGTACCAATGAGTAGGACTATTGCATTGATCACATAAACATTACTGGACTTTGCCTTCATGACAGACATTTTGTTACATATAAACTATTTACAATGCCATGGTATATGATGGTGCTACATGAATCATTCATAACAACCAGGCACCAGGCTTAGTTATTCCATTCCTGTGCACTGAACTTTGGGGCTTTTTCTTTCCTGCTGTTATTCCTATTTTCAGTAGGGCAGCTTTATTTTCCAGTTCATCAGTCTCATAAGTCTTGTCAGTCTGAACGTAAAGCATTAAATTCTAACCAACTAGGGTTTCGAAGAGACTGGTTTGGTGGACCTTACTGATGGAGAAAAGCTGCATGCAGGAAAGGCAGCAACCCCCCCCCCCCCCAAAAAAAAAACAAAAAGAGACTGAAGATCAGTTTTACGGGGGATGAAAACCTGGCCAGGTGTCTAGTTTTCTGGAGCCTTCATAATAATAATGATAAGGAATGACAATGCCTTGCATTCCACTGACTCACCCTTACCATCAGTGTTACTTTACCCAGTCTTTCACTTTAGGCCCATTATAGATATTCCCTAGGTCCATTTACAAAGGAAAGAGAACAATTAATGTAGGCCTTACAGTTCTCAAATTACAAGAATCATTCCATATCCTATACAATATCATATATCCCTATACATAGGAGAAAGTTCTGTTAATTGATAGATCTTTGCAAAAGCAACAGTGATTGCATCAGGACATGACAATGGGTGATAACAATATTTTGTTTTTATTATTTGCTCCCTTATGTATTTAGGGAGACATTGGAGTACAAGGTAGACCAGGCCCAAGTGGTCCTCCAGGAATTGGAGAGCCCGGACTACCGGTGAGTATTCTGATTTATGTTTTTTTTTCCTTGCTTGGTAAAGTATCTGCATTAAGTTTAGAAAATTCCAATATTCTAAATATACAACATGCTTAACTAGTTATTTATAAAAGATAAAAGTGAATAAAATGTGGGATACAGCATAACCTAGAATTGTTCAATCGCTTCTACTACCTGGGCTAAGATGTTCTTAGATGGCTCTCACAAAATCACATTTACATCTGCATTGATGAAGATGAAAAAAGAATTGGTTGGCAAGATTTCTTACCAATAGTGTCACTATTTTTTGTATCCTTCTTAATTTGACAATGTCATGAGTATGTTGCTCCCCATCCTAGGGATACCTGCAAGGAGAAAATGCTAGGAATGGCCAGTGAGTGCCATATATTGTGTATGTATTATATATGGTGTATGCCTATAAGCGAATTCATTATCCTGCAATTGTTTTCCTACATGGGATGCAGTACCTACTAAAATCCAACAGGTGGCACTGCTAGTGTGGGTGGACAACACTACAGTTGCAAGGTACATCACAGTGCATGACCTATTAAAAGGAGTTGTGCAACATACTCACATTAACATCATCAACTGTAATATTGATCCATATTTTTACTATTCAGTATTTAATTATGTATTAAAGAAAACCATTTAAGAAAGGGCATTTGTAAAAACCTGAATCTGCATTCACGGATCTATTATTGCATCAATACTTCTCAATGATACATGTGTGTGAAGTTATTCACTTACATCATGACATTCACCCTAACACTTCTGCTCTGACAGGGAGCGAACACAAGTAAAGAGAATAAAATTAAGTAAGCCATGAACGGAAAGGTTGCACAATTATACCAATTCAAGGGTGGCTATTGATATTATTACATATGCCTATTGATGACTGGTTCTCTTTAAAATTTAGAACACCCAAAGTGTATATTTCTTTACTCCAACCTCCTGCTGGATCCATTATACATGCGGTCTCACTCCCACTGGTGGATTTCCCATTATGAATAAAGCATCAAGACAATGCTTGGCACTTGTTTTATTGCACAATGCAAACCCCATTTACATTGTTATTTATTGTAAAAAAAAGATTTAAACAGATAAAAACAAACAATAATAACAAATTGCGTTTAATTATTTTTGTATGTACTTTCTCTCTGTACTTCCAAAGCCATTTAGTCTTATTTGTCTTTCGGACAAATTAATTCTTATGAATTATGCAACCAGTAGTGTATAGACCTACATCATTATAATTTATAGAAAAGTACATTTCACCATAATCCCTGAAATCAGACCTCTTTTTAAGTGAAAACACACCTAACAGAGAATGCTATAAGACACTAAGTTCCGTAAACCCAAATCATGTCGGGGCAAGTTTACAGTGATTTAGCTTCAGTCTGAAAAATATTAACAAAATCCGTCAGCTGTTATTTTAACTTAAGATTGGGAAACAAAATGTGATATGAATTTTAGTTGATTGTCTTATAAATTGTTGTTTTACAAAGTGACATCTTATGATAAAATACCACTTTATAGAACCTTATTTTTGGTTAAGAAAATGGTTCTATTGTACCGGTTTTGATTCTGTCCTATGCTCTCATCAAGACAAAAAGACAATGTTCGCTCCCAGCCATATTACTTTTGTCAGATGCAATCTTTGAAATTATAGGACTGCATTATTTTTAAGCAAGTTACAACTAGACAGACTACAAAGGAATCCGTGTTTGTGTTATGTGTCAGCTCAGCGGGTTGTGTTTATAACATTTTGATATATTGTAATGATTTCATTCTAACAGGGCCCTCAAGGACCTCAGGGGATTTCCGGAGAGAGAGGATCTATAGGAGAGGGATTGCCAGGACCAAAAGTAAGCTCATCTATCTATTCCTTATAAATTGTGTAGTGAAATTGTGTAAAGAAATTGTCAGTTTATCAGTCAATTTTAAGGTGGAACTATCTTCAGATACCCAATGATGGGCAGACTGGCTTGTCCAGCTCTTTCTGGGTAGCCTGATTTCCAACAGATTTGGCCATCCGCATATATGATCAATTTTGACAGATATGGGCATTTGAGGAAGATGTGAAAGTCTTTTGATGTAGATTATTGGGAAACCTGCAAGCAGGGTGCACTAGAGCATTCCCACAGGATTTGGAATCCTCAGGTTTCCCAGGAGGCTGTGTGACATCACCGGTGCCTAGGCTTAGGGCTGGATGCCACAATCTATGTTAAGGTACTTTTACTATTAATGGCTAATATTGTTTTCCCCCTTAGTATGTAACTAATAGTTAGCATAGGGGTGGGTGACTAATCTAATATTACCTTTTAATAGGACTTTTATGACTATTACACTAGAAGGTCTCAAACATTCTTCTGTAATTTCATTCCTAGTGAATAGTCTATTGTGATTATCCAAGCAAGATAAACTGGATACATTTTTGTATGCAGGGCTGGATTTACTTTCTCTGCTGCCCCAAGGCCAGGTTCCTCGATCAACTACCTTGCAGTGGTCCTGGGTCCCCCAGAAGAGCGGGGGACCCTGAAAACCACGGCTGGGAGGTAAGAAAAGCAGACTAATTACAAGTGATCTCTGCATTGCCGAGCTGATCTCTGCACTGCCGGGGAGCTGCAACTTACCCAGCAGATGGGCGATAGGAATTCCACACCCCAGCCACCCCTCTACTCCCTGCTGCCCCGAGGCTGGGAAATACGGTCCTGTTTCCATGTACTAACAATAGGTGTAAGGCTGCAACTTAAGGGCAAGTAATTTTATAAGCGATAAAGGAGCCCATGAGATAGCTGAGGCACCCGTAGGTGGGTGTAGTGCCCAGTATATAACAGATCCAACAGGGATCAGATAATAGGATATTTATTGTAAAACACCAATAACGTGTAAGGCAAGTTAAAGTTGCTTATTTACATACCAAATGCAACGCAGACTTAATACACAGCTGGGGTCTGCAGGCATTCAGTGCATGAAAGCATGGCAAGAATCCCACTACATGCAGGGTAGTGGATTCGAAGGGATCAGCACGTGAACCATCCAGGAAATCCTGTTTTGATACTGGATCTTGTACATCAGATTATTTTATAAGAGTATAATAAATATGATGTACCATTTCTCTTGTAGGGTGATCGTGGATTTGAAGGACAAAGAGGACCTCGTGGGATGCCAGGGCTCGGTATTCAGGGTGAAAAGGTCAGTGTTATATACCCAATAAAGCAGACTTTTATTTTCACTCTCTACCTTGCATGCACATGGACCTATGGCTTTCGCTTATACTGATTTAAGTACATCTCAGATTACGTACTATTGTAACCCCTAACAGTAGGTTCATGCTGCTAGCCCTTTGCATGAGCTGTTAACACATTTATGTATGCTTTATTATAGTGAGGTGTTCTCCATAAAATACAAAATGAACTGGACCTCCATCCAAAGCATTACCGTTACCTACACACCATCAGTTGATGCCTTACATTTTCCAACATATAGAATCACATTCTAAACATAATTGATACATTTTCCTCCTAGGGAGAATATGGACCTCCTGGTTTGCCAGGCCCAATTGGTTTACCTGGAGTTGGGATACAAGGAGAAAAGGTAACATATTTCTTTATATCTTATTAATAAAAGGAAAATTATGCTTTGGATTTATAGTTTTGTTCAGTCAGTCTTGTAATTCAGACACCTCTGCCAAAAAGCACAGCCAGGTCTTAGATCAGGTCTTGGTCAAGAACACATCTCCGGCCAGCCTTGTGGACATTGAAAGCAGCACACTGATGAGTTATCACTCTGTTATCTTCATGTAATCGCATATAAGCTGCAGAAGAGTCTGATTGGCTCCTATTGCTGGTCCTCCTTCCCCCAGTTTGCAAGCTGCTGAAGGTTGCAGAAGGCTGATAGGAAGATAAATAGAGGAACTTAAACTAGTTACATTTAAAAAAAATGTTTTTAGTTTAATAAAAAATTGTGGTAACTCCTGCCTGGAGTTACAAAAATCTTTAAAAACTGAACCATGGAACTAACTGTGTGAAATGACTTCTAGCTTCATGAACTGTAGTCCTATTGAACTGCTAAACTAAATATTGGTTCTGCCCAGGAAATGGCTGCTCCATTGCAGATATTTAGACCTATGGTCAAAGCTGGGCCGGCTGCAATATTATTCGTCCAATCCATAATAACATATAAAAAATAATTTGAAATAAAACAATTCAGGAACCTCATTCAGTTATGAACACAGACCATATGTTGCATTGATAGCATTAGTAACTGTAGCTCAGAGGACATGGCTCAGATAGAAGAATTACCTATGAGATAGAAGTTGGAGGCTAGGTGGCTCTATAATTATATTACCATGGGGCACATCATGTGTAGTAATGCACTGACTGCCCACTAGGGTTATAACTAGGGTTGCATCGATACCGATATCAGTATTGGTGCTGATACTGGGCATTTCACTTGTACTCTTGAAAATGCCCCGACACTAAGCGCCGATACCGACGCTTTACATTTTTTAACATGAGTGCTTGCTGGGGTCCTCAGACAGGCTGGGGACCTCGAGGCCGCTGTCTTTTACAGCGCTGGTCCGGCCAAAAATATCCTCCTCTGAGCAGCCATAGGGTGATCTGAAACAGCCCTGGTACCCACACTAACCCGAGCAGCCATGGGGAGAGCTACACGCAGCCCTGGTGACACCGCACTGCCCTAGTGAGACCTGCACACAGACTTGGTGAAACTGCACAGCCATGGTGAGACCCATACGCAGCCCTGGTGACAGTTCACAGCCCTGGTGAGATTGCACAGCCCTGGTGAGACCTGCACGCAGCCCTGGTGAGACCTGCACGCAGCCCTGGTGAGACCTGCACGCAGCCCTGGTGAGACCTGCACGCAGCCCTGGTGAGACCCATACGCAGCCCTAGTGAGATCACACAGCCCTGGTGAGACGGCACAGCCCCGGTGAGACCAGCACGCAGCCCTGGTGAGACCCACGCAGCCCAAGTGAGACTGCACACAGCCCTGGCGAGAGACCCTGCACATTCTCCTGAGACCCCACACAGCCAGGGTGGGACCATGCACAGCCCTGGTCAAACACTGCACAGCCTTCTGAGATGCTGCACAGCCCTGGTGAGCAACAAAGAGTATGTAGCTTCATATTATTCTGCATTGTTGTATAATGGCCTGCTGGGATTTGTAGTTCTCTATAGCTGGTGGTATTCTGCATTGTTGTTTACACTATTGTTCTGGTGAGACCTGCACGCAGCCCTGGTGAGACCTGCACGCAGCCCTGGTGAGACCCATACGCAGCCCTAGTGAGATCACACAGCCCTGGTGAGACGGCACAGCCCCGGTGAGACCAGCACGCAGCCCTGGTGAGACCCACGCAGCCCAAGTGAGACTGCACACAGCCCTGGCGAGAGACCCTGCACATTCTCCTGAGACCCCACACAGCCAGGGTGGGACCATGCACAGCCCTGGTCAAACACTGCACAGCCTTCTGAGATGCTGCACAGCCCTGGTGAGCAACAAAGAGTATGTAGCTTCATATTATTCTGCATTGTTGTATAATGGCCTGCTGGGATTTGTAGTTCTCTATAGCTGGTGGTATTCTGCATTGTTGTTTACACTATTGTTGGGATTTGTAGTCCCTCTACAGCTTGGCATCAGTGGCAGAGCTACCAGGGTTGCATCGGTTTCAGCTGTGACTGGGTGCTGGTGCTCCACCACTGTCCCAAAATCATTAGTCTGTATTGTTTAAGAAAAACTATTACATGCCACAAAAAAAAAAAAAAATGTATTTGGTATCAGCGAGTACTTGAGGAAAAGTATCACTACTCGTGCTCAGTCTTAAATAAATGTATCGGTGCATCCCTAGTAATAATTCTATCACATACCTAAAATGAGATGCAGAAAGCCCACTTAAGTAAAATATGAACATGTTGTTTTTCAGGGTGTTCAGGGTCCTGTGGGGCCAGCAGGAATGAGAGGTCCACCAGGAGAAGGACTGATGGGACCCAAGGTAAGAACCAATGAAAACAGTGTATGACTGCTGTATTCCCATAAATAATCAAGTTGTATGTACTTTGGCCCTTGTGGGCTCACACATATGTACTTTGGCACTGGTCAGAGGATCTCAGACATGTATTGTGGCCTTGGTAGGGGGGATCTCAGACACAAGTACATTGGCCATGGTTAGAGGAGCTCAGGCCGACATGCTCTGACCAGGGTGGGAGTAGCATAGACAAATGTATTTTGACACAGGTGGGAGCATCTTAGATATATGCACTTTGGCCTTGGTTAGCAGGATCTCAGACACATGTACTTTGGCCCTGGTGGGAGGATCTCATAAATATGTACTTTGGCCTGAGTTAGAGTTGACTCAGACATACAGTATGCACTTTAACGCGGGTGGGAGGACCTTAGACTCATGTACTTTAGCCATGATGGGAATAGGTCAGACATATGTACTTTGGCTTTGGTGGGAGGATCTCAGACATATGTACATTGGTCCACGTGGGAGAAACTAAGACACTTATAATTTGGCCCTGGTGGGATCAGCTCAGCATATCCACATTGGCCCTGATGGGAGAATGGGAGGAGCTTGGCATTTTTGGCCCAGAAATGACTCTTTATTTATTTTCAGGGAGATCAAGGTTTACCAGGAGAATCCGGAGTACCCGGAGAGAGAGGAATTGGAGAACCTGGTGCGAAGGTACTGTAAAACTTTATACCATTCTGATTATTTACTTCTTTATACAATAAAAACTACCTTTAAAAAATGTATACAGTTACCAGCAACAGATTTATTTGTTTTGATTTGTTGGAGCAATCTATTCTCAATGAACAGTGGTAATGTCATGCTTCAATAAAGCACACAATGGTAAAAACTGCATTCAGTTTGTTCAACTTGAAGTTTATGACTGCACTTGTGAAGAGATGGCAAATATGAAAAAAAAAATATATGTATATATACACAAAGGGGTCTATTCACGAAGCTGCCGAGGGCAGCCGAGTGAATGACCGATCTGAAGTGAAGTGAGCCTCAGTATCTACAACCGGTATATTTGAATTAATGCCTTAGGACGAAGTCAAAAGGGGTACTTAAGCAAAGCAACAGAAATGTGTATCTACCTTTCCTATTCTCCTCCGCCCTCACTGGGGTTTGTTAAAAACTAGATCCTTATGAGAGAAACACTTGGCACTCTCTCCTACTTTCCAGACTGCAAAGCCCGCTGTCCTATGGGCCAGTTGCTACCTATGCCCAAGGGCTTTCATTGGGGATAATCAGAGCCATTTGGAGAGCTGAAGCAGCAAATCAGAATGGTGAAGGGTTATGGGAAGGTAATTACCTGAAACCTGCCAACAAGAAATCCTGTTACTTTGCTTAGGACTTGTCATTTTTGCCTTCTGGTGCCCAAAGACACTGCATGTATGTTGGTTGCTCGGGCACAATCCAACTGTCCTGTAGCACCTTTTAGAGCAGAGGGTTACACATTATTAACAGCAAGGCATACCTTTTTCTTTCCATGGAAGGAGGAGAGTAGTGCAGTAGGAGAACAGTTAGTCTACAGCTGGACGGACACTATGCAAATTTTGGTCGGTTCTTGATGAAGCAGCCAAAATGTGCACGGTCGTGCCGCTATCGGCACCCTTTCGCCCGGCATTCCTTGATCGGATGGGACCTGTACCATTAACACCCTAAGAGCAATCTACCTCCAGGAGTTAATACCTGCCATCTTATGTCTCTGAAGAGCATTCATTCACTAGCTAATTTAAAGGGTGTGCCGGGATGGCACCGCGAAAAATAAACTTGTGCTGTTTTTATAAAAAAAATTATAAGCATTGTTTACCTTTTCTTTGTATTCTAATTTAGGGATATCATGTTGTTTGCATAATTTAAGAATAGATCAAAACATACTGTATATCATATACAATACTTACTCTGAACACCTTAAATTTACTCTTTCAATTTCAGGGTGAGCCAGGAGCTTCTGGATTGGCTGGTTTGCCTGGTTTACCAGGTGAAGACGGTGCACCAGGACAAAAGGTATATTTATACATGGTCTTAGATATATTGTCAGCAATATCCTTTTTTCTTCAGTTGTGCCATTTTTTTTTAAATGTATCACAGTGACCATATCACATGATTTTTAAATAAGGCCATACCTGTAGAAAAAGACTGAATACTTACCTCTGCTGACACCTGCATTTTGCTGATCTCATGTCTTTTTCCTCCTGTGACTTGGAGGTAAAAAGAAGGAACACTTTAGAGCTGCAGGGGACCATTTTTAGTAATTGGAGCAGCGTTCAGCAGTACAGGCAGCAGGAGAGTAATGTATTTGATCTTTTCTTTACAGATAGAGTTCTATTTAAAAACCATGATGTATGTGACAGGGTCACTTTAAAGCAGGTGCAATATGGAATAGATGCATGCTGAATGCACATAAGAGAATAAATTAATACAGCTGATTATTTATAACAATTTACTTTACCTGCACACCTTTAATACACAGTGAAAAGACTCAAAATACCTTATTTGTCTTTCACAAATGTAACACAGTAGACTCAAACATAGGAGGCTTCTCCTTATTCAAATTGCATGATCGGCAACCAATACAGTTCGAAAAGCCTCCTCCTGGCTGACAATATTAAAGTGAAAGCTGACACCAGACATAACAGCTTGCAAACACACAGGCTATTGGGTTGATTTACTAAAGACAAATAGGCTGTTCGCTTTGCAAGCGAATTTTCACTTTGCACGGCCAGTTTCCCTTAGCTTAGTGAAAGTGGTGAAAATGTATTTTGCAAAGAAAATCCTATCTCATGCAAGGAAAATTAAAAACAAAGTATGTTTGCTTGCACATGATTGGATGGTGGAAGTCAGCAGAGCTTTATCTCATTCACTAAGCTAAGGGAAACTTCCCCTGCAAAGTTAAAATTCCCTTGCAAAGTGAATAGCCTATTTGCCTTTAGTAAATCAACCCTTTGTCTCTTCTGCTATACAAGTAATAATAAATAAGTATTCTTACCTGCCTGTATGAAATGTACACTGAGCTGTGCATGTGCAACCCAATACAAATTTGGCATCTGTTGAGATGAACTCCCGCACATTATCCCGGCGTGGGCAATCAAGATGGCTGAAGATCCCATATCTGAAAGTAGAACGGGCGAAGATGTCTACAGCGGGTGAGGGAAGGTGAGTATAATTCTGCTTTAAATTTGATGTGAATGAATCCTTCCTTATGGTAAGGTTCCACTTATTGCCCAAGTTCCATAAATACAGTCTAAAGTCCTAATGGTCATCAACCCTTAAAGTACCTCTATTAACCCATCACATTTAGAATGATCACAATACTATCAAATAAACAAATTACATAAAATTAAATAAATACAGTACATTATTCCCACCTATTTCAAAATCAAAAGTTACACTAGAGATAAACAAAATAGATCAAAAATAATATTAAATAATGAAACCCGAGAAGGTTGGAGGAGTGTTCAAAGTCTCATATGATTGGCTGACTCTCTGATCACCTGACTGTAGAAAGAGGAAGAGAGGAGGCAAACCTGCATTGTTGGGTATACTGTGTTACTGCAGTTTTGTGGACAACTAATAAGGTACTGTGGGGTTTGTTTTTCAATGTATATTGGAAGGTAATTTGAACTCTGGAAAGGTTAGATGGATATGCACTAAACACTGAACAAAGCAATAACTAGTGGTATTGGTATAGTGTGCCTTTTCTTTATTGCTTCTGAAAGAAATCTCTATGGGCTAAACACTGCAATGGAACAAAGATTCTAATGATGATGGTAACAACAATGAGAACGAATGTTACAATATATAAGACTGGCTTTCATTATAATGTCTAAGATGATAGAGTTGAAAACAGTTAACACAAAAAAGACAATACTTATGGTGTTTATAATTTCCAGAATAGGGAACGTTAGGGTGAATATATTAGTTCTGATAATAGGCTTGATCCCCTAAAATGTAATTGATATTATAGCAGCACTACTTATTTTATCATGTGATATTTTTCTTCTAAAAATGTTCAGTTCACAAACATAAATGTCCCCAAGAAGTGTAATCTTTATTTCTTCATGTGAAATTAATAATGATGGGGACACAAAACAATCAATAATGATGATTGTTAAAAGCCATATTATTTGCTAAATCATTGTTTTATCTCCTGTTCTTTTCTTTCTCATGTCCATGGATGGCTATTGATATTCCTAGTTATCATTACCCTTAGGCTTGTGTTTTTTTTAGGGGTATAACCTGTGTGGTAGTCTTCGTGAGTTGACTTTCACGTTGATTTTTTCACAAGGGCCAATAAAATAACTCTAATGGTGATATAATAGTAGTTGTAAAATATGATTGCTGACAGAGCTGACTAAATAAAGTGTGTTATGCATGTTTGTGAATTGGTGAGGTGAATAAGAATATAACACCACAACAAGAAGAAAACAGCTTTGTGATTGAGTCTATTAACAGTTAAGTCATTGATGGTAATAGTGATGTGTATTGATAACGGAAGAGCTGAAGTTGAAGATAAACGTGTTTTTTTGTTGTTGTTGTTTTAATCTAGGGTGAGCCAGGTCTTCCAGGGCTCAGGGGCCCTGATGGATCTCCCGGTGTTGGCATACAAGGTGAAAAGGTAAGTGTCAACCAATAAAAACATGGCATGTGCCACTTACTGAAACTTTTTTTAAATAAATACCCATTTTATGAAAACCAAAACATATTGATAATGATAAGTACATAATAGCACTCTACAAAGTCTCATTTTTAAACAGCTTCCCTTTTAAAAATATTTGCATGCAAAAGCTTCAGTGTATCCAACATGCAGACATACATTCCGAGTTTGCCGGATGTCTGGTCCTCGGTAGTGTTTCCAACCTCCAGGACTCAGTAGTGACATAGGGGTCGGCAGATTGTCCTACAGAGCACAGCAGGATACACAGGCACCCTACCTACCTAGAATTGTTGGATGCTGAACATTTTTGGGTGGTGTAGCTCTGCAAGAGTGTGGAGATCCAATGCATGCCTACTCGAGAGTTAAATATTTACAGCGTTATTCACAAAAGGGTGAGTTGTTTGAAGAAGGCAGGAAAAATGATTAATTTAGGCCAAAATAGCAGATTCAGAAAAAATCCAGATCACTTTCCAGTTCAGCTATGTTGTCCTAGATCAGTGGTTCTCAACCTGTGTAACCTCAGGACCCACATTTGTCCTTGGTCATTAAGTTGCGACCCAAGTCGTGCTGCAATAGAACGCTTGGTAGGGTGAGTGTGTGCTGCTATGCTGTGATGGAGCTCCATCCATATGTGCAATGTTTATGCAGCTCACATGTGCACCTCTAGACATGCTGGGAGCCAGAATGTGAAGTCACTCCGGTCCAGGCACCTCTACAGGACATGCGAGGGAGCTATAAGCAGTGCACGTATGAAGGGAGCTCCTTCATGGCCATATCTCCAGCCCACCCCACCTCAAGTCAACACTCAGCGCTGGGCAGCATATTTTGAATGGGTGCTCGGTGTAAAACTGGACAGTGCTGCGCTAGGGGGAGGCTGAGGAGCCTCTCACCTAGAAAAGTGGAAGGCATGCGGCGACCCACTGAATACGAGGTCACGACACATTTTTGGGTCACCACCCACCAGTTGAGAAACAAGGTCCTAGATGATTCACTTCTCCTGCCTTCTCCAAACTCTTCACCCTTTTGTGAATAACCCTGTAAGCATCTTCTCTTGCAGTAAACATTTTTTCTGGGTATAATCACTTTAATATTTGAATATACAGTGTTATAAATACCCTTTTAGGCTACTAATTATTTTATGTTTATTCCATACTTATTATATACCGTAACCTATATTAGTAGCAGACAAAGTAAAGTCACATTGCAAGGTCATTTTGATTTTTGCTAACATTCCTTGTTCTGTTAGGGTGACCAAGGACAGCGTGGCATTCGTGGGTTAACAGGACCGCCAGGACCTGCAGGACCATCTGGACCAAAAGTAAGTATTCATTGTTGTTTCCACAGATATTTATCTCTATATTAATAGCACTGATTTTGTAAGTACAGGCCAAATTGCTATGACAACACTTTCTAACGTCATTGCTGTGCTATCTCTGAAAATCATGACCTAGCACTTCAGTTTAGATATTAATGAACCAAATATATCCAACATCATATAAAACTGTTTTTGTAATTTTTTTTCATTGTGCACTATTTTTAGGGTGAACCTGGAGCTGTAGGACGTATTGGATTGCCAGGCCCTCCTGGTCGAGCGATTGTGGGTCCCAAGGTAATTATTGCTTTTAAATAATTGCGAATACTGCAATTTGCAAACGTGGATCCTACAATCAGGAACAGTAACATTCATGACATTTGTCATGGACTCTCAGCAAATATCCAGATGAGCTTCAGCTTAAATATCTGCATACCATACAATATAATGTGTGAGTTCTACAATTTTTCAGACATAATTGGGTACTAAACAAGAATCTTTGTGTAATACCTACTATGCTAACAAATTGTAAAAAACAATCACTGTATAGCGTGTCATATGTCAGGGGAATCCTATCAGTGAATATTTGCATCTAGTGCCTACAAATGTCAAATCAATATGAGACAGTCATGGCAAAATGTGACTCAGTATTTTTTTTATTATTCAAGGGAGACATTGGACTACCTGGCCCACAAGGGTTGATTGGAGAACCAGGAGTTGGCATTGCTGGTCCAAAGGTAAAGTGACATGACAACAAAATGCATGATTAAATAAATACTGTAGTGCTAATTTAATACATTAGCACAGAAATACACTTGCTGAAGTTTTGTACATTTTGACATTACCAATTGTACAGTATATTACTAAATTGTTATCAATCAATGTACAAGTGATTTCTGATAATACTCCAAATTGCCAGTGTGATTTGAGGTTTATGAAATCAAGTATTTTTAAAGCATCAGATATATTTTTCCATGTTAAGTACATGTATGCTAAACTAATGTGTATGTGTAGCATTTAAAAGTATTTACTATCTCTCACAGCACATCACAGCATTATACCTGACAATGTTTTAAATCCACTTTTCTCTCCAGAAGGACAGAACCTTCTTTATTCAGGCATCATCCAGGGTCAGCATCTTTTTCCTGGACTATGATTCTGACTGAGGGCTGGTGCCATCCCGTGCAGGTGCACTCAGCGGTTGCCGCGCGACCCCATTGATTTCAATGGGGTTACATCCATGCAGCAATCACTGAAAAAAGGTACATGTACCTTTTTTGGCGACACACACCGCACGTTTTTTTAAATTGCGATCGTGCTCAATTGTGCGGGCAGTATTGCGGCAGGAAACTGCACAATCTGCTTGGGGCGACTGGGGTGCAATCAGAAAATAATGGCACCACCAGCGCGATCATCGGTGGTGTGCGTTTCTGTGACCACGCGGCCACCTGTGCGGTTTTGTGCTCGATTGCCTTGCGGTATTGGACCACCCGGGTGTGAACCTGGCCGCGGGGATGACACAATCATGTAAATAATGGTTCAGTTTGATACAGATCAGCTCCTGCGGCAGCTTCTCACCTTGTGATTTGCTACAAATATCTCAGGCTGATCACTGGGGGACAGGCCTTCACCTCCTGTCTACAGCTGACTGATTAAATAATTTCAGTCAGGCAATGTCACTGGACTGGAGTTGGAGTGCTGCTTTTAAATGAAAAATGGTGGAACTTCTCTGAGCAATTATACTGCAACTGTACAGTCAGAAATGTATTTATGGGGACTTGTAAGTGTCTTTTGTTCCTAATTCTGAATATCCTATCTTCCGCAGGGTGATAGGGGAGGTCCAGGACCACCCGGTCCATACGGACCGAAGGGTGATGGATTTGCAGGACCACCAGTGAGTATATTTTTTAATTTTGTGTTGGGTTAATTAGTAATAGAACAAAGCCTGGTTTATCACCACCATGGATGAAACAATGAATCAGTTTGTCAATATTACATTGGTGAGGTGAAGTAGGAAAGAAAGAATGGAAAGTATATTGGACAATAGTACCCAACTTCCCTAGACTGAGATGACTTTCAGTGAAAATGGGGGTGGCTGAGATTGGTTTATTTCATTGTGAGATTTTAGATTGCTATGTATTTTTATTGACTTCAACCAACTCCATGGCAGCCACATTTCAACCAATAGGCGTCCCACACATATTGCGTGTTGATTCAAACCAGAGATAGTTAAAAACTTCATGGGCAGAGCAAGTTTTGTGTTGGAGATATGCTATGTCCAAAATATAATGCACTGTGGACAATAGTGTGCACCAATCATATAAAGACCCTTGCACTAATTCCCTGACATTGCAACCTGCCATCCACCATATTGGACCAACCATTCAGCATACTGCAGGCAACTCCTGAGGTATGTCCTGACAAGTGTTATAATACCCTCCAGGGTATGCATGCATGGGGTTGAAAACCACTGAAATGTACTGGCAAGCAGGAAGAAAGTCA